CAATCTACTTCCGTAGTGATACCACCTCAGAAACCCAAGGAGGGGTCGCTATGAGTCGGATCTGACTCCACAGCAATGCTCATATCCCCCAAAGTAGGATGTAGAAACTTGCCTTTGTAGACTGTTATGCAAATTTACCTAGATGTCCCCTGAGACTGTCTGCATAATTTTTCTGTAAACCTAAAATTGCTGTAAAAAATCAAGTCTTAAAAAACACATACATATATACATAAATAGGCGCTCTGGTGGTGTAGTGCCTAAGGCATTTGACTGCTACCCAGAAGGCTGGTGGTTCAAAACCACCAGCCACTCCTCAGAAGGAAGGTTAGGCAATATACTTCCGTAGTGATACAGCCTCGAAAACCCAAGGAGGGGTCACTGAGTTAGATCCGACTCGATGTCAGTGCATTTGGTTTTTGGTTATATACATAAATACTACATTGAAAAAAATTGCTATTAATCATGAGCAAACAATTGTAATATAGTATCAGAGGCCTCAAAAAGATTAACCACTCTTTACTTCTTGAAACTATATTCTTTTAATTGTCCTGATATTGTAGCCTCCTATTTTTTTCCTGATTTCTCTCTAATCATTCCTTCTCTGCTTTTCTTCCTTGTACTCCTTTATTATCATATTCTTACAATGACTCTGTACTTTGTCTTTTAGTCTTTTTCTTTCCTTTACACCCTCAGAATAAATTTATTTCAAGACTTCTATTATTACCTCTTTGGAGAGTGCTCCAAACCTTTATTTCTCTTCCTGACTTAATTTTGGGCATCTACCATTTGTAAGACATTGGATTGAAAGCTCTGCAAATATTATTTCTAGTCCCAATATCTATAAAACATCTTTACCATTGACACTTCAAAACTGACTTATTTTGTCTCCATCCTATCCTCTTACCTCTCAAAAAAATGCAAATCTCCTTCCCACCTTCCTTATCTCTCTCAGTGATATTACCATTCTCCTAGGGAAGAAAGCTTTAGGTGATTTTTTTAATTTTATTTTCCAACCCTGGTACCAATTTCTTACTAAATTCTGCTGTGAATCTCCTTTGAAATGCCTTCAAGTCCCTTAACTTTGGAGTTGATTCTGTGTGGGGAATAATCTTGTATGTTTTCTGAACCTTTTTATACT